AGCTTTCCACTTATTAGGATGAATGACTTAACTTTTCTGTGTCTCTGTTCTTTAATTGTAAACTAAAAATCGTAATCCCTTCCTCACAGAATTGTTATAGGGTTTAGATGCATGGAAGGAGCAGTAACTGGTTCATGGTAAACATTTGATATAATGGTAGTTTGAGAAATAAATTAACAACCAACCAGAATTGTGGGTCAGGAATTGACAAGACACGGGTAGCAAGCTAGTGCGTGCTGGCTGCAAATGAAGTAACACGTTTATCTCCTAAATTGTACCAAGCACAGCAGTTCATTCTTGTGCATTCAATTACCTGTCTGTGATTTGCATTCTCAGCCTCATGTCTGTATTGAAGTAAATTGGGTTCTTTCAAGAATTCTGGCTCTGTCTGTAGATGGTGATGCAGACCATAGCAGAGTAAATGTTCTAGCCTGCTTTATCTGAGTTTTACATCATTTTAGCAAACTTGACATTGCCTGCTTGAGGCAGAGTACTTGACATTTCTTGAGATCCAAACACTTTTTGCAAATTACAGAATTAAGCTTAACAACAGGAGATCAGAGAGATCAGTTTTTTGAACAAATTGATTTGGAGGTCACTGGCATATTACCTGATGCACAATAAAATTAAGTATATGATTTCATTATAGGTGCCATTATCCTTCTACTTTTTCTTTTCTTAAAAAAAAGTATTCTCTCTTTCTGTTTACCCACCACTCCCCAGAAGGATGAGCCATCTTAACCTCATATCTAGTGTTTAGTGATGCAGATCTCTAGCCCTTTAAAATTTGTGTTTTGCAGTAGCTCACAGCTAGGTAGAGTGATGTCTTAGGACGTTTCCTTGTGGATGTAGTGGGGCTAAAGAGAGCCTATTGGGTCTGGTTACAGAGGACATTCTTTCTGGACTCTGGCAGGTTTTTCGTTTTAAGGACTTAAAGCATACTCTCAAATTGCTGCTGTTCCCATGTTATTTAAAGTGAAAGCACTCCAGCTCATTAGGAGTTAGGCGTCAGGGACAACTCAGGTTGCCCTGAGTCTGTAGAAAGGATCTGAGAGTGATTGTGTCCTGTGGTATAATTTTACTTTGAAATCCCTTCCTACTTGAGCTTTTGAGAAAAGAAGCTTGTAAGTAGAGAATCACCAAAAGACATGAAAAAGCTTATTTTCCGCAAGTGAGTAAACTCCATTGAGTCTTAGCTCAAATGGGTGTTCAGTATAAATTAGTGCTTTTTGGAGATAGGGTGATCTTGGATTGTAAATCTAATGTAATTTTTTAACTGGCTACATTTCTGAGTCTTTTTGGTTGGTGAGGCTTTCGGGGTCTTCCCATCTGTTTTCCCTAGCTGGTGCGCAAAAATGGAAGGAATGCACATTTGTCTAGAAGCAATATCAAGTCATGGAGGGCCTGAGAACATAACATAGAGGGCATCAGAACATAAATATCCCTATTTGCTTCACAGAAAATGATTATCTGATAAGCTAAGAGACTGGTTCTAATGCAGGACTGGCTGTATCCATAGGTAAGTTCTGTATAAATGGCAATTTGAGGGCTCTATTTAGAGTTTAGAGAACTTGGCTCATAACCTGTTCCAGTTAGTGGAGTCAAAGACCAAGAAATACTACACAAAGCTTATAGTTATTTTACACAGTTCTGCAAGGTGGAGATTCTTAATGTAACTGTGATGAGTGCAATAAGGGACTCAGGGTCTATAGCTTGTCTGTTCCTTCGTAGGATATTTATCTGAGAGGCTCAGACCTGCCAGGTACTTTTGTTTGGGCTGATAGCGTAAATTGGATAGCGTATAAACAATAGAAATTTATTTCTCACAGTTTTGGAGGCTGGGAAGTCCACAATCAAGGAAGATTTGATATTTGGCAAGGGGTTGCTTTCTGACACGTAGTACTTTCTTGCTAGGATTTCACATGGTAAAAGGGTTAGGGGTTTCTCTGGGGCCTATTTTAAAGGGTATTAATCCCACTCATGGGGCAAAGCTTAATCAGTTCCTGAAAGGCTCTACCTCCTAATACCATCATCTTGGGGGTTAGGATTTCAGTATATGAATTTGGGAGAACACAGACGTTCAGACCATAGTACAAGGTATCAAAAGGGAAACTGGCATGATTTTAGGTTGAGTGTCTAATAATTAACTTTTGGATCTATACTTTGGGAGTTTACACTTTTATAAATTTCATAAACTATATTTTGGGTCTAACTAGGCAGTATCATATCCGTAGAGGAAGTATCTTATAGTGTTCTGTATTATGTTTAGCCAATTATGAATTTCCATCTCATTTTGGCATGTAAAACATATCAGTTATAAAGATCACAGGTCAAGAATTTTAGCACCAATTATACAGTAAATTTGTAATTATGAATTTAAAACTATATTAGCGAGTTCTGTGCATTCACTATCTTAATAAGGCACAGATACATGCTCATATTTTTAACATGTCAAAACTGTAGTATTGTTCATTCTGTTAATTAATTTTCATCCACTTAAAATGTTGATGATACTGACGTATGTTCATATATTCTCTTTAAAATTCAGAATCCACAGTTTTGAACAGTTTTGGGAATTGGCTGGATTATACAAAATCAAGAACCTCACATTAAATTCAGTTCTTACTGCTTTGTTAAAAACTACTTTTGCAGTTCTACTTGTTGATGACATATTTAAATAAGAAATTTAAACCAGTGAGGAATAAGAAAGTTCAAGTGAGGTTGCATTGGCTGTCTGAGTGTTTAAAGGAGTGTTGCTTTGGCTGTCTACGTGTTCCCATTTGTACCCAGCTGAAGCTGGTATGAAATGTATATTTTAAAAATGAGGCCAGGCTTGGTGGCTCACATCTGTAATCCCAGCACTTTGGGAGGTGGAGGCAGGTGGATCATCTGAGGTCAGGAGTTTGAGACCAGGCTGGCCACCTTGTTGAAACCCCCTCTTCACTAAAAATACAAGTATTAGCTAGGTGCCATGGTGGATGCCTGTAATTCCAGCTGCTTGGGAGGCTGAGGCAGGAAAATCACTTGAACCTGGAATGCAGAGGTTACAGTGAGCCAAAATCATGCCACTGCACTCCAGCCTGAGTGACAGAGAGACTCTGTCTCAAAAAATTAAAAGAATAAATAAAATATGAAAAAGCATGTACAATTTTAATTTCTGTCATTTTATATACCAAGTAAGACTCACAGGGTTTAGAAGCTGGCAAATTATGTTTTCTTTTCCACAAATGGAGACAATAGAAACAGTTGAAGAAATGTGATGAATTTGACAATACTTTAGATTCTCTTAGCAAAAATTAGTAAACTTCAAAAAGTGTGTAGATTTTAAGGCTATAGGTTTAAATGTATGTTGGTCATGCTGAAAAAAGCCTGGAACTTCAAGTGATTTTTACTTAAGTTTATGGATAAGGTCACTGTTTCTGAATTTGGGAGTTTTCAGAGGCATTTCCTATTAAAAGCTTTGTACACATTCTTTCCTCTTCTTTTCTTTCTTTTCCTTTTTTCCTCCCTCCCTTCCTTTCATCCTTTCTTCCTTCCTTGTTTCCACTTGATGTTATTCACCTACATTCTAATTCTCCCCTTTTGTCTCTTCTCTGCCCTCTCCCATTCTTCTCGGGGCCCTTTTTCAGATCATTCTCTCCCCTCCTTGGTTTCATCTCTCCACCTTGCTCAGTCTCTGAAATCTTCTTGCCTGCTCATGACCTTCTACCCCCAGACACCTGCTCTAAGGTGCTACTTAATTTGGAGGTGACTGTGGAAGGAGGCCTCAGGTAGACAAATGACTCCTCTGGGCCTCAGAGGAAGAACCTGGAGAGCCTGTCCTGTTACAGAGCATGGGAGGATCGAGATAGGAGCACAGGCCCAGGTGCAGCAGCAGGGCAGCCAGCCATGAGGAGCTGCTTTGTCATAACTTTAGAGCAAACTTTCGGGCTCCCCAAATGTGCAACACTTCAGTTTTCTTAATCACCCTACAAGAACACTTCCCGGAATCTTTTTTTCTATCACCATAGTTTTGCTAGTTCCTTCCTGATGGCTTTTTTGTTAAAGGAATATTTTACTATCTTTTATGTTACTATTGGTGAAAGATTATAATTCTATATCTTAATACTTTATCTTTTCCAAAACTACCTCCTCTTTCCCCGCAGAAGAGCAAGTACTTTAGTTGTGGGTTTGGCCTCTCTTTGGATAGGACAAAGTACTCTTAATTCCTCAGTAAACTAGCTGTCACCTGTGTAGGTCGCTAAGCCCAGGTATTTCATTCTCCTCTCCTTAAGATTTTTGGGTTTGAACCCCATTTGGGTGGAGATGCCACTGGCATGAAAATTCTTGCTGGTGACTTCACCTGAAGAGATTGTGGGCATGGCACCAGTATATCCATCTGCTAGGACTTTAGGTCAGTCAGGAAATCCTGTGAAATTCCTGCTCAGGGTTAACCAAAGGGAGCAGCTCTGAAGGGTTGTGTTCTTCTGGCCAGTCTCCTCCCTTATTAATATATGTAAACAATCCTTTATAGCCATGGATTATTGCTGACAGGCTGACCCAGGGTCAGGATGGTGGGTAAAGCTAAGAACATTCCAAGATATACGTGGACCAAAAAAAAAAAAAAAAAAAAAAAAACGTGAAAACTGGTACAGACTTGATATTAGAAGGGGACTTAGTGATGCTAGCCCAACCCTAGAAATGGGGTGCCTTTTATAGAGAGCAGGGGGTCCCTAACCAATAATATTCACTAAAAGCATGAGCACTGGAGTGGGACCGGCATGGATGCAGATCCTGGCCTTGTTACCTTTTAGCTATATGCTCTTGGATCCTAAGCCTCAGTTGTTACCCCCATCTGTGAAATGGGGAAAAGAACAGTATCAGCTTTCTAGAGTTTGTAAGAGAATTCAATGGGAAAAAGGGTAGAAAATGCTTAGTATATTTTCTGGCACACTATAAATATTTAGTCAATAATTAAAGTATTAATAAATGCATCAAGCCTACTTTACTTTTTCTCCTAGGTGAAAAGAAATGGATTATCTCAGACAGTAAGCCAGGAGGAAAGAAAGAGACAAGAGGTATGTTTCTACTGTGCAGCTGCTTTAAAGCTCTGAAGTTTGCATGTGGGTGTCTGCTCTTTTGTGTTTTCATTTATTATGTGCACTTGTTCAGTGTTGTCCTTTGGAAATGTATTTGTTTAACAAAAGCATTAAGTGATCATTTTAAAGTAAGCCCCCAGAAAAGAAAAAAATGTTAAATATCTCAACATCACTCAACATCATTTGATTTTAAACAACACAGCACCTAGTTCAGGTGTTTAAACTGGGAGAAATATGATAAAAAATGAAACTAACATTAGCTCCTGGAACTGAAAACGGATGTTTATGGAAAAACTGGTATTCACATTAGTCTGTAAATAAATGTAGCCTATTTATGTAAGATACCCTAAGTTAGGGAATGCTGGATGAAGGATATAAGGGACTCTGAACTCTCTTCGCAAGTTTTCTATAAATCTAAAATTATGCCAAATAAAAAGTTTATTTAGTAAAAGAACAGGTTAATAATGGAGTTTTACAACTTGAAGTTTAAATTGATGCAATTTGAGGAAATTGAATATTGGAATAATATTGTGAAGCTCTCAAAGCACTTTCCTCTTGCCTTATGTGTATTAGTTTGTGTGTGTGCGTGTGTGTGTGTATGTCAGGGCATATTCATACATATAAATTGATTCCACAAAGGACACAAGGATGCCATTTTCTTTTTTCATTGGCATGGGATAAAGCAAGATATAAGGGTGCAGTATAGTGCCATTTTTTCAAGTTTAAGAAAACATAGTACTACAGAACTTTGGTATACTCATCCACTGAGAATTAACAAATATATAACAATTGTGATTTCTCCATTTTTTTTAAAGAAAATAAAACTGATAGTGTAGAAGGCCTGCATTCTCTTTCTCAGTCTCATTCCCTTTCTTTCCTCCCCAGAAACAACTGCAACTATGAATTGGTACATATACTTCCAGCCTGTGTTTTAAAATTATATGTAACATACACACAGACATATTTGTGCATGTATGTTAAAATGTATACATATGATATGATTCTGTGCATTTTTTTTGGTTTTTTTACACTCAACATTGTTTTTGAGATTATTCATGTTAGTGCATATGAATCTAAGTCATTCATTTCAATCATCATATAGTATTCTGTTCTATGAGCATCACCTTTAAATATTTTTTATCTGTTTTTTCAATGCTGGACAGTAGGTGGGACTTTTTCCTTCATTGTTAACATTGTGACATAAACAAATTTTCCCTCTCCTTTTGCATAAATTTAAAAGCTCTTCCAAGGTATCAATCCCATTTGAACATTTATGTTCTTTTAAATCTTGTATATTTAAACCTTGCCTATTTCTATCATATTCTGAAAATATTTATTCAGACTTTCTATCACTATATAGCTATTCCTACCTGCTATATATAACAGGTTTAACCTAATTTGCATTTAAATAGTTGATGGCATTATTGCAGGATATTTTAACAATTATTTTATTAAACTTATTATAATAAACTACCAGTTATTTACCATTTCCTATGCTCTATTATAAATAGTTAATTATGTCTTTTTACCCAGTTTGAGTATTTGGATTAGATGACCCACACTCTCCTTGATATAATCAGAAGTAAAGAATGAGCAGAGTGAGGGAAAAGAAGGAAAGGTGTGACTTTGGACAGCTGTCTGCTGTGACAATTCATTATGCACTGAACATCTGTCTATCCACCAGACTTGAAACATACCTTAAAATTTATTTCAAGGAATCAATACAAAAGCCAACTAAATGAGACTTTATAACCCTAAATGCCTTCTTTTGGAGATCGCAAAGGGTTTATTAGTTTGTGCCCTTCAAAAATGAATTAAAAGAAATTATTTAAAATGTTAAATTCAGCAATATTAATTTTTGGTTCTCAAAATCCTCAATTAACACTTAATCATATTAAAAAATTAGCATAGTTCAACATTGAAGAAGTGGAAAGTGTCTTTGTTGTTGCAGATATTTTAAGTCATTCCAAGGCATCATATACATCAACACCTGAAATTAATCATTTATGATCCAGAAGGGAAATTTTTCTTTAATTTGCTTAGTGTGTAGTTTTCGTGGGGGGTTTATTGTAGTGATTGAAAAAAATTGCACAATATACAGGTTAAATGAGACTCTTAACATTCTTACTGTTTACTCTTCAGATAGTTACATCACTTAATTTCATGGAACACAACTAAGGCTAGATTAGCACATTTAAGTAAGACCCAAGTCCCTAAACCTTACAGAAGCTAAAAATGGAGGTGAACACTAAGATTAGCACTTCTAACCTGATTTATAAAATATGGAGCACCCATCAGCAGCCGAGTGTCCACCTACTTGTGCCTTTCCTGCTCCCACCCAGCCACAGTACCCTCTGCTCTTTGGGGCAAGGACTTGAAGGGATAGAGCCCTGGAGATCAGGGTGATGAAGGCAGCGTTACCAGGGAGCTTTCCAGGAAGGCTGTGGCTCTCAGGTCTGCATTGTCCCTTTATCTGTTTTTAGAAGATCTGAATTTGATTTTGGTAAGGATCTAGATGAATTCCTTACACAGGGCGCTGGAATCTTATCCACATATGTAGGCTGGCATTCCGTCATTAACACTTATCAGGAAAACCACTGTGTGCCTGTCACTGAGAGTCTCTGCAGAGAGTCCTTTGCTCCTTTTTGAGACACTGATGAAAGTTGAGTGTGATTTGTTGAACAGATGGAATTACTTTCAATTGTATGAGTTTATATAAAAGAATTCCTGTGGCTGATAAGAACCTTTTGAGGGTAGATACAGTCATACCAGAATATTTGCTGTTATTGACTGAAAATAAGTCAGTTTAAGCATAGGGAGAGTAAAAGCGTGACACACAAGAGGGAAGGGAAGGAAGGTGTGAGAAATTTTCTTTGCATCTCAAGAGATGTCAATAAATCCTTACTGTCCCTAAAGCAGCGTGCTTTGAAAGCAGGGCTAGAGGAGATGACCCCAAAGGTTAATTAATGTCACACTGAGATTTTATGACATGCCTTAGCTTCTTTCTGTAGATTCTACCCCTTGGCAAAGGCATGACCTCAGGATATGATGTCAAGTCATCCACATGCTTTCATTTTTTTCATATTTACACCCTAGACAGTGAGTATTTTTTGAGATTTGGGTAAATGTATACGATATAAAGACAGTAGTTTGGTGATGTTGTTTCCTTACTGCTTATCTTTTTGTACTTTCCAAGATATTATACCTCAAAAGTAGAATATCTTATTATTCTTATAGCAAAATTATGAGAGCTATATTTAGTTCTTTAATTAAAAGAATTAATAATACTTTTCTTTTTCTTTCTTACCAGGCTATCTTTGAAGTCATATCCTCTGAACATTCATATTTACTCAGCTTGGAGATCTTGATACGAATGTTTAAAAATTCTAAAGAACTGAGTGATACAATGACTAAAACTGAGAGGCACCATCTTTTCTCCAATATTACAGATGTCTGTGAGGCAAGCAAAAAGTAAGTGCACTGCAGTCTGCCTTTGGTCATGCCAAGAAGTTGCAAACTAATAAACACTTTGTTATCTCTAAAGGAAGGCATTTAGGGTTATAAAGTTTCATTCAATTGGCTTTTGTCCTGATTCCTTGAAATAAATTTTGAAATACGTTTCAAGTTTGGTGGATAGACAGATGCTCAGTGTGTAATGAATTGTCACAGCAGACAGCTGTCCAAAGTCACTTTATTCCTGCTCTTTTCCCCTTCTGCTTGCTCTTTACTTCTGTTTGCAACAAGGAGAGGATCTTGGTTTGGTGCTAGTCTGTGGTATTTGTCCATTTCAGTAAAGAAAGAGTAAGCCCCAGGCTTAGGTCTTCTGTAGGCAATATCTGGCTATAATTTAATAATATATATTTCATCATATTTAAGGGTTTTTTTGCTTCACTTTTTGTCATGAAAAGTAGATAAAATCATAAACTTTTATGCATTCAAAACATATTTAGCAATTGTTAAAATTTTCCATATTTACTTAGCTGTTATTTTTGCTTAAATTTTTCCAAGTATATACATAGGATGTTTTACTTATAAATGCTTCAGTATTCAGTTCTTATAAATAAGGTCATTTTCTTTTTTTTTTTTTTTTTGAGACGGAGTTTCGGTCTCGTTACCCAGGCTGGAGTGCAATGGCGCGATCTCGGCTCACCGCAACCTCTGCCTCCTGGGTTCAGGCAATTCTCCTGCCTCAGCCTCCTGAGTAGCTGGGATTACAGGCACGTGCCACCATGCCCAGCTAATTTTTTGTAGTTTTTAGTAGAGACGGGGTTTCACCATGTTGACCAGGATGGTCTCGATCTCTTGACCTCGTGATCCACCTGCCTCGGCCTCCCAAAGTGCTGGGATTACAGGCGTGAGCCACCGCGCCCGGCCAGGTCATTTTCTTACATAACTACATTGTTGTGGTCATATTTGTGATCATGCTGCTTTTATGATTTTATTCCATTTAATTTTTCTGTGTGTAAGTAATAGATTCACATGTTTTAAAATTCGAAAAATATGAAAGATGCTATAGTAAAATGCCATTCATATACTGTTCCCTGGCCACCTGAAACACAACCAGAGTCAACATTTGCTTTCTCACATTTTTTTTAGTAATACTTTTATGATTTTGTATTAAAATATATTTATATATTTTTTCTCATTTTTACTTGATTGTTACCATACTATAAATACTGTTCTGCTCCTTACTTTTTTTTTAACCTCTATCCTGGAAATTATAGCATATCTGCACACTAAAATTTCCTCATTCTTTTTTATGTTTTTTCCTTGCAATTATCGTTGAAGAAATCAGGTCATTTGTTACGTAGAATTTCCCATGAGGCATATATAATGTATGGGTGGCGATCAATACCAGATCCATTAATTCATTAAGGATTGCAAAACAGTATTACTCTAATTTATCATTCTTCATTCATTTATTAGCTGGAATATTTCTATAAAGGAAAAGGTGCATCCATCTATTCATATACCCAGTGGTAAATTTCATGTTATTCTATTTATTAATGCTCAAATTGTTCCATCTTTGATCTTAATAATTTTTCATTATTTTCTTGCTATATGACATTTTAAGATGTTAAAGGACTATGTTTTACAATTCCTGCTCCAGGCCTGGAATCAGCCATTTCCCCAAAGATTTCTGGTGTCTTTTAAAATGAAGCAGTATTTTAAAACCTCAGTGAATACCAGGGATGCTCCTTGCTAAGTGATTTTAGGCTCTTGCAGTAGATAGCCAGAAAAAAAGTTCAAATTTTTTCTCTACAAAACTAGATATATTCTTAAGGCCATAGGCACTGCAAATTAAAGTGTATATATTAAATATGTACTTTTTGTATATCAATTATACCTCAATAAAGCTTAAAAAATAAAAAATTTCTATTCCTGTCCCCTCTATCCTATTCCCTTTCCGTATACTCTCAAATAAGTTGTTTATCTTTGTTTCTTAAAAGAAGCATATGCATATGTTTATGTATATATATTCCCCTCGCTTTCTTTGATAAATGAAAGCATATTCCACTTATTTTTCTCAACCTCTTTATTCGTGTAACAATATATATTAGAGGTTACTCCGTGGTAGTTTATAGAGATGTTTTACTCCTTTCTCTGGCTACAATAATTCTCCATCCAGTGACTTTAGTTTAGTAGTTTATTTATCCAGCCCCCATCTTTGTGAGCATTAGGATTATTTTCAGTCTCACTGCTACAGAGTCTTGCTTTGTGCTTACACCCTGCTATATTTTAGCCATTCTATCCTTGAGATAGATTTCTAGAAATAGGATTGCTAGATCAAAGGGTAAATGCATATGCTATTTTGTAAGATACTGCCAAATTTTCTTCAGAGCAATTGTGCCGTTTTGCAGTACCACCAAGAATAGATGAGTGCTTGTTTCCCCAAAGTCTTTCTAGCAGAGTATGTGAGTAAACCTTTAGATTTTTGACAATCTTGTAGGTAAGAAGGATTATCTGAGCATAGGTTCAGTTAGTATTTCTCTTACCAGCTTTTCCATATGAATAAGAGCCATCTGGAACATAGTATGTATCAGTAAGACATTATTAAACTAATAATATTCATGTATGATATTGATACGATTTAAAATTTGCGATAAGCACTAACAGTACATCAACAAAAGTGAAGAAAGGAAGGAGGCTTTCTAATGCTTGCTGAAACACAAGAATATTTGCTTTGACTAGATCAGTAGTGATAACATGTAAGTTTGGCTTAGGTAATCACAGAATTATGCTTAACAAGAAGGAGGCGGAAAAAGTATTAGCATTTTTTTTCTGCTCATAGAGGCTGTTAGAGGCATCTTATCTGAAAACGTTAATACAAGTAGAAATTATGAACATAACTGAATTCATCAAATACCAAAATATTAGTCCAGGGTATTCTCTGAAGCTTGAAGGATGTGTAGGATAATTTATTTAGTTATTATTTTCGTTATCTTTTATGGAATACTTATCATTCATACCAAGCATTATGTTAATAGCCTTTTCAATAGAGTATGTATGTAGCACTAAATAGACTGCCTTCAGTGAACAAAGTCTTAGGATAAATAATAAAAGTATTAATGTAGTTCATGGTTAGTAGGCATGTAAAGATCATCACTAAGAGGTCAGGAAAACTGAAAGAAAATTCTAAAAGGTCTGTAATAGTAATATGGGTTTAGTTTAATAAGCTGTGTATACCTATATAATGTACAATTATGTAACCAATAAAATGCTTTAAAGGTATATTTAATAATATGGAAAAACTTTGCTAATATATTTCAATTATAAAGCAGGTCTAAAGAGTGGGATTTCATATTGTTTTGGATTTTAATTATTTGAAAGGTAATTTATCAAAACATAAAGGATAACTATCTTTAATAATAGAATTATGAGTTATTTTAATTTCTGTCTTTGTACTTTTCTGTAATTTCAGTTTCGACAATAAACACAATGTTTATATAGTTAGAAAAGGAAACACAAGGAAAGGCAAAAAAAGCAGTAACAAACCTGAGTCCAGAATCAAGCAGGGGAAGTCACTGGATAAGCTTATGGTTAACCTTGAAATAGGTCATTTTATGTAAAGTTTAGACTAAAATTTTACTTCGATTTCAAACATTTACAAAATTTAAATCATTTATGATTTTATGAAAAAGTTTTATTTCTATCATAGCTTATAGTAAGGGTCTATTTTGAACATTTTTTTTCTTTTTTTTTTTTTTTAAAAGAAAAGATACTTTTCAGCTTCCATTAATAGAAAAACAAAGAAATATTCCTATCTTTACATTTTTATTTTGTTTTCACTTCAGATGCAGTGCTTTAATTTGGATATCTGCTTTTGTGATAACTTGATCTCTGTTATATTTCAACTAGGAATGTTTAACTTTTACATGATAATCCTATGTCTATATCATAATAACTTACATTACAAAACTGTATTTGATTTAGTTTGAAACACTCATTTCAGATACAGCCTTTTTGAAATTCAGAGTAGTCAGAAGATTTGCAAAGGCCATTTTATGATATAAGGCCTGCTTGTTGAACTTCAAGAGTAACTCCCAAGTGTTGATAACTACTTAATGTAATATTCACGAAAGAGTTTACAGTCCTAAGAAAATGTGAAATAAAATCTTGAATAAAATAAATGATCAGTATCTGAATTAGATTTTACAGAGTAAGCATGGTATTGTTAAGTATGTCATAACCAGGGCTATCTTCATTATTTTACTTTTACTTAATGAAAAATTATAGCTATAGGTGATGAGATAGTTGTGGTCAGAACATCCTTAACATCCAAATTAACAGTGTGGTGTCTCCTCCCCTTTATTGTGGCTTAGGTTGTTAACTGCCAGTAAGTAACACTAAGGATTTATGTAAGTTGACACTATTTGAAAACAGAAAACCAGGGACAACAGTCATTCTGACTGTGTGTGTGTATCAGTAGTATGTCTCTGCAAATTTTTTTTCTTCTTTTAAATAATTGTTCATTTCAGCTAACACTGAGGGCCTTCTAGTCTTCAAGGTTCTTAAGTTCCAAAGCATTTCAGGTGGCAGCATCTGCCCAGGGGCTGTTGGCCCTTAGGACCCATGGTGGTTGGTGAATGCCTCAAATGTATTTGCAGAGGCATTTCAGGGCACTTTCCTTGAAATGGAAAGGTTTGGGTTTGGCTGGAGGTTATGAGCTTTTAAGCCCTTGGTGAGAAGGAGAGCAAGAGAGCAGATGGTAAAGGCTATTGTGTGCCCTGCTGAGGCATTTTCACCATTTCCTAAAGCCTGTGTGGAAACATTTGCCAGTTAAGTAGGGGACTGATTTTGTGGCATTGTGGAGAACAGTGTGGTGTTTGCATTAGCAAGAGAGGTGAAAATGTTAAAAGATTTGTGGCAACTGAAGCAACACAGCTAGGGTGGAAACTGATGGGGGCTCAGAGAAATATTTGGAATATAGACTCTTGAGGACTTGCTAAAAAGGCAGGAAGGAATTTAGTTTGCCTCCCAGGTTTCTACCTAGTTGACTATGATTGGAGTTTGTATTAACTAGGATAGAAGACAAACAGGTTGGGGCTTCGTGAGGGAGACAAAGGATTCAGTTTGGGGCATGTTATATTTGAATGACTGAAACATGAGGATAAGGTATTTAGTTAAAAAGAGAAAAGCAGGTTAGAACTCCAGAAAAATCTTCAATAGGGATGTTGATTTGAGTCATAGAGGTGGTTCTTGTCATTTTAAGTTTAAATAAGATAACTAGAGCTTGTAGCCATGCTTTGTAAGCAGTGGTGGTGGTATTTACCCTGTAAGGATACTTGGAAATGCATTTCTGGTTGCCCCAGTAGACTTGGAGGGCTCTATTGGTAGATGGGGGCCAGGGTGCCAGCCATTATATACTTGGTAGAACAGTCCCAGATAAGCATGAATTGTCCCACCCAAATGCCACTAAAGCCCCTTTGAGATACATGGATGGAGTAAAAAAGAAAACTAAGGTCAGAATTTTGATATAGAAATATTTAAGGAGCCTGTGTGTTGATGCAGAAATGAAGTAAACAGGATAAGAAGAATTGCACAGTGTGCATGGACCTTTATCAAGTTCTTTGGCTGTAAAGGGTTTGCCTCTCTTAATAACACCTTCCTGTTACCCTCTCTCTTAGTGCCACAGCCTGATGATTGTTTGTTTTCTAACCCTCCTTAAAAGGAGAATGTGGGGAGTTAGAATCCTACTGATTCTGTTTTTACCCCACCTAAGAAGGGCGACACACTTTCCTTTTGCATGGAATGATTAGAGCTAAATTCTTTAAATTTAGGTAATACTTAGATGGCTTTGGTTCAATGTCAGGGAAAAAGCTGTTGACTTCCAAGTCTATTTCCTTTCTCTGTAACTGTACCAACTTCTTCCCCTGACTCAAATTTATGAACTGTTCCTAGTTTTATGATCTCCTTGTCTTTTAAGGATCTCAGCTGTGTTAAAAGCGTGATCATCTCTTGAAAAATGGAGTATTAGAGACCATCTTTCATTTAGAAATGAATAGGCTTATTTCATAACAAAACATCACACATAGTATATACTTTCCATATTTTCCTATTTCCTTTGATTTCTTTTGGTTCTTTCTCCACAAATATATGGTTACTTAGGATAATTTATGGATGATCGCTGTGTTAATACAAAAACACCTGTAAATGTGATTAACTTTCATTAATTTGCAACAGAATATGATCTAATCACAACTGTTTTTAAATTCAAGATACATCCCTATTAAAAGACTGATACTCTTAGGAAAAAAATTATCTTTTGTACAAGACTGAATGTTAACCCTTCTCCCCTGTTTAGAAACTCTAAGGTCTAAATAAGTTCTTTTATGTTAAAAAGTTTTCTGCAAAATGGAAATTAGATGAGTCTTTGATGCTTCATAAAAAGATGTGTTTTTACTCTCAATTCTGAGTTTCATTCTAAATATCTAGGTTTTGTTAGCAATCTTGTATTTAATTTTTTTCAATAACAGAGTGTGCTGTTATTAGTACCCTGTAAAAGCATGCTGCCGAAGAACTTTGTAAGGTGATTATTTCTCTTTTTCCAATTACAAAGTTAAAACATTGGTGTTTCTTTGGAAACCATTTAAAGCTAACACTATGCTTGTCTTCAATTTCTGCAGAGTAAAGTAAAAATATCCATCAGTGTACTTTTGTGTCCTGAGGAACTGAATTTATTCCCAACGTATAATGAGCAGTGAATGCCAAATTCTCTGGTTTCTGCTTTGTGTAGCAGAGTAAATTACAATAATAGTAAACATACAAAATAGTACTTACCCAGCACTTGCTTCTCTAGAAGTTTCTCCTCTAATTTTAATCAGACCGTATTAAAATTGAAATATCCTATGACATTAAGAACTACTTTACATGCACGTTTTAATATTATTTTATGAAATGAGTTCATATTACCAAAAAATGACAATTTATTTAAATAATAGTACAGCATATCTGCATTAGGAAATAATATTTCTATTTGGTAATTAAAACTCTAAACTTTAATGCATATGCAAATAACAGTAAACCTTCAAAAGTCTTCTATAGTATTAATATTAGCATTTCATTCTTCCTGACTAATTCTTAAAGCCAAATTTTAAAGGAAAAACACATTAAATTTAACTAGGTCAGAGAATATGGAACGCTTTAAGTTGTAGAATCTGCTGAATTTTTGCCCTGAAGTAATGGCTGTTGCTGTTTTGTGTTAGCAAATGTTATTTTCTTACTCCATATATACTCAATGTAGGTTTACCACAGAATCTTTGGTAAATAAAGCCATTACCTTGTTTTCCTGAATATAGCAGAGAAACTTTATTCTTTCTAAAATCAGTTTTTTCAACTGACAGTTAAAAGACAGTGACATTCAGAAGCCACTCTTTATAACACTTTTTGACTTTTTCTCGATCCTGAGATGAATGATAAAGTTCATTTGAAATTCACCCAAAGTATTTTCACAGTATTTCAAAGTAAGTCTATGTGAGTATTCTAGTCCATGTTGTTCAGCTCTTATCAACAACCAGTGTCTGGAGTAGTAGAAAAAGAAATAGGTAGTTATTTAGGTATTATTTCAAGTAAAGAAAGAAAGACTAGCAATGTTTTAATAGATGCAGTCCTTTTGGGTAAGACTGCAGAAAAGCAGTGTGGGATTTGAAGTCTGAAAAATTGAACAGGAGGCCAGTTAAAGGTGATTGATTAGAGACATGCACTGTATTCATTCTCTTCTAAAATCCCAGTAAAAATGATGGGAAGGTCAATACATGAGGATAAAGAAAATAAGAAAAGAGGCCAGGTGCAGTGGCTCATGCCTGTAATCCCAGCACTTTGGGAGACCGAGGTGGGTGGATTATGAGGTCGGGGTTTGAGACCAGTCTGGCCAACATGGTGAAATCCTGTCTCTACTAAAAATACCAATATTAGCCAGGTGTGGTGGTATGCGCCTGCAATCCTAGCTACTCGAGGGGCTGAGGCAGGAGAATTGCTTAAACCCAGGAGGCGGAGGTTGCAGTGACCTGAGATTGTGCCATGGCATTCCAGCCTCGGCGACTGAGCAAGATTCCATCTCAGAAAAAAAAGAAAGAAAGAAAATAAGAATAGAGACAACAGCAACAATATTTTGGAACCTGGAAAACCTGAGATGGATCCCTAGTAATTTAGGAAAGTTTAAATATCTAGGCTGACAGTGAGGAAAACCAAAGATCAACCAGTTTTAAACCCTAGAACCTCTGAAAGGTGGTTCTCTCTCTTTTTTTTTTTTTTGGTTCTTCCTTCACAAATCTATGGTCACGTGGAATAATTTATAGATAATTGCTGTGTTAATAGAAAAAGACCTATAAATGTTATTAACTTATATTAACTTGGTCTAGGACTAAGTTTAAGGTAATTCCTAGGTGCAGGAATTGATGATGAAGTTGGGTAAAGGTGTGATTAAAACTACAAGTTTCATGCAAGTCTGTTTGAGAAGCAGTCAGACCCTAGATCCCCTATTTGGCTCTACCTAGCAAGATGATGACCATCTTTACCCCAGCAGCAGAGTAGCATTGGTGAACCCTGGACCAGGAGGCCCAGATCCACGTAAGGAGGGGACTGTTGTATAGGAAACAGGTATAGTGGCAGTTGGCACCCACAGCCTTTTGCCCTACTCTCCTTTTGGAATGCGGGTAGCCAGGTGTGTGTGTATACTTTGCCCCTTTTTGTCAAATGGTGA